TTAATAAATATTATAATGATAACGATAATGGTTTTATTTTATATATTTATTTTATTCATTGTTATTTATTTCTATTTCACTTGCGTACATCGTTAAAGAATAATAAAATTAAAAAATGCAAAGCAAAAATCAAATTTAATTTGTTTACCAGTTCTGCTTCATCAAATTCTTCCACCAGAATACAATTATCAAGTAGAAAGTTATTGTGAATTTGAACCAATAATTATGATCAAAAATGTGAATATTGGGCAACTTAAAGTGTGTTTGTATGTGAATATTAATGACAAAAAAAGTGTTTCGAAATAGTTAAATAATTTTCAAGAAATTTCAAAAACAACTATGAGACTTACTTGAACTTATCCAGTTAAGGGAACTAAAGTTATATTTTGAGAGACATGCCATTGTATTCATAGTCATATGGTAAAGCAGAAAAATAAGAATCGTCAAGTTAAAAATCCTCATAGTCCCCAAAATAAAGATACAAATTGCACTGCTCTACTTGATTTTAAATTGGAAAAATCCAATCTTACAGCTTCTCATACATTAGAAGTTAATCTTCGTTTTACTCACAACCATTTACCAAATTCAGCTGCTTCTTTTAGTTTTCGCCCAGTTAGTATAGAAACACAACAACAATATATAGACTTGTTTCATATTGGGCATATAGCAGCTTCAGCAAGACATTTATATGAAGATAAATTGCACTTATCTGCATCAGATGATAATGAACTTGCATGTTTGTTGGCTGATCGAGCCAAAAATTCTGATGGGGGTTTCATTCGAAATCTTTATAATCAATTTTGTATTACTCAACTCGGTGATCATAATGGAAAAGGCATGTTTGATCAATTACAAGAGATGATTGATCAGTATAATGAATCAAAAAATGGAAGAGCGATCCTTCAAACATACAACACAACAACTAGCACACCTTTTGTTCTTTGTATCATTACAAATTTAATGATAAGAGTGCATGAAAAAATTCAGCAGGCTGGAGAACTCTGTTACCTAGATGCATCTGCTGCATTCGATCCACTTAATACATCAATTAGTTTTTTTTACACAAGTTGTATGGTTGGTGCTCTACCATTAGGAATATTTTTAACATCAGATGAATCTGAATTTACAATCGAAAATGCTATTAATTTACTTAAAACAATTTTACCTGTTAATGCTTTTTATGGGCGTGGAGCACAAATTGGACCCAAGGTCATTATTATTGACAATTTTAATGCTGAGCATAATGCTTTAGCAATTTGTTGGCCAAAATGCATTCACTTGCTATGTATCTTTCATGTTTTGCAAGCTTTTTGGCACTGGTTATATGATTCAAAGCATAAAATTCATAAGGATGATCACATCCCAATTATGAATTCTATAAAAGCTGTCTTGTATGCACCTACTATTCCTAAAATGGATAAAGAATTTGTTAAATTTAAAGATCTATATTTTACTAAATATAGACAAATTGCATCATACTGCATACTTCTTTGGGAAAGACGAACTTCTTGGGCACTTTCATATCGAGAGAATTTAATGCTATGCAACAACCACACTAATAATTATATGGAAAGAAGCTTTGGAATTATAAAGAACATTGTTTTTGGGAGAACCCAAGCCTATAATGTTGTACAAATATTTCAACTTATTGTAACGAATATGGAATGATTTTATGAAAGACGGTTATTAGGTATTGCCAATTGACATCCAGGTCATTTAGAATTATCAAAACGGTTTCTTTGTTCTGGTTGGACAATGGTAGATCAAGAAAGAATTAAATATGATACAATTAATAATGTATATATCGTACCAAGTGTAATAACTATTAATAAAATGTATATAGTTGATTCATCTATTGGAACCTGCACATGTCTTGCTGCACTTGGGGGTTCACCTTGCAAACATTAAGCCACTGTTGTGGTTAAATATCATGAAGGATCATTTAATTTTTTTTCTGTGCTTTCAATGGATGATTGTATAGTCTATCGCTATATTGCTTGTGGTAAATTTAAATATATTATAACTGTATTCGTATCAATGATGCCATTTTATTGTATTGATATAATTTTTTTTTTATAACAAAAAAGGAACTGTTGCAAAAGATTCCACATTTTATGCATCTTTACGTGCACCTATTGCATTAGAAAACATCCAAGTGACTAAAAAAGATGTACAAAATGATTTCACTTCCAAAGGCTTGAACAATGATGCACCTATTGCAGACAATAGTGCTATTTGGTAATATGCTATGTAGTATATAAATATCAAGTTACTTATTCACTAATGCTAAATAACTTTTTTTTTAAGCGATTCCAATAATGATAATGTTGAATATATAAGCACATGTATCGTAGCTATTGAAGATTTTTTTCAACATGTTATAGATAGCATAAAAAACAATCATCAACTTCTTGCGGGTCTCGAATATTTTAAAAAAAGATACGAAAAGGCTGAATCCTTGTAAGATGGGAAATTGGCTTCTTATTTTTATCAACGAAACTCTACAGTGAAAGCTGAATCGGTATGATGTGGTGCCAAAATCTGGGTGCAACCAGCATCCATTCAACGAAGAAAATGTAAAATATCTTAAGAAAACGTTGACCCAGCCATTATGAGTGCATGCAAAAAAAAAAAAATTCCCAAAAAAACACATAATTTATCAAAAAGTATTGCTGAGAATAAGCAAAATTAAGCTGTAACTGACTAGTTATTAAAGTTATTAAATAATTAAATATCAATATCAATATGTATTTAACAAATTATTTTACAATAAAATAAAGTTGTAAAAATTTATTTTGCATTCTGGAGTTAATCACCCATCAATCACGTAATTATCCAGAGCGCAACCTTGTACACATTTTCGGTATGCTATTATAGCAGTATTTAATTTTATATTATAAGAAAAAAATTATATATTACTTATAAGCTAAAAATAAACAAATTTAGAAAAAATTTTTAATTAAAAAAATTATATACAAATTTTTAGTGAACTTTTTAAATATTAATTTTAAGCCTATAGTTCTTAATACAATATTTTAGTTTATATAAAGAATGATAATTTTTATTAGTAATACTTTTGCAATTTACTTATAAAAATTTAGACTTGTACAAAGTATAAAAATTTTTTTTAGTTTCAGAAACATATAAAATTTTAAAAAATCTTGAAAAATTTATAATAGTAAAAATTTTTAAATATAATCTTTAAAATTTTAATATATAAAAGTTTATTAATATTTTGAAAAAAATTTTATAATAAAATTTATAAAATATGTTTTTAAGAATATATTTCATAAGCAAAGTATACCACATATTATTAATAAATTATTATTTTATTTAAAAAATACTAAATACAATTTAATTTTTCAAGCAAATTTGTCTAGAATACAGTTTAAAAAATATTACTTTTTTATTATATAAATAACTTCAAGAACTCAAATTGCAATATTCTAAATTACAATTATATACAAAATTACAATTTGAAATAAACATTTAAAATCTTTAAAATATGCAAAAATTATTGTTTAAAATGTAGTATAGAACATTATACTATCTGTTTACACATGTGATAACCAATAAAATTGTCAGTTCAGGTATAATATAAAAAAGAAAATAAAAATTTGCATGTAACATGTATAACCAACCAAAATTAATGATCCGGATATCTTATTTATAGTTTGCTTCGGTTTTCAATATCTAGTGTTACTTATAATAATATATATAGTATATTTTATATATGTATAATAAATCAGTAAGTTAAAGAAAATCAAGATATAGCCTGCTACACATGGGTAGAAAAGCCCCATATGCAAATTAGGTAAAATCAAGTTCACGTATTTGTACGTACAAAGAAAATCATAATACTAATAAAGGTTATATTGTTGCAATTTTTTGTTAACCTTTTTTAGTATCGTTCGAGGTGTTACTTTTTTAGAAAAATTATACGTATAACAAAACTGGTTAAGCCACTCTCGATTTTATATATATATTTTTTGGAAAATGATTTGAGTACATCGGTTTCACGTAACATCACGTACATCAATTTTTTTTAGCCAATAAAATTTGCTGCGCCTCCAAAATCCGAAAATTTCGTTGGCCAAAAAAAATTGATGTACGTGATGTTACACGAAACCGATGTATGCAAATAATTTTCCATATTTTTTTTTTAGAAAACATGCATCGATATATGTCCACGGTCAAAATAGGAAAAAAGTGAGGCTTACGTACGCCCTTGCAACTAAATTGCAAAAACCAGATAAATACCATGTCATGTGAAAGGACAACCAATCAGAAGAACGTATCTGTTCACATCATTTCACTCCTCTAATAACCATGCAATCTATTTTAAGTAAAAATGGTAAATGACTGTTATCGATTTTATATATTTTTTTTTAGAAAACATGCGTCTATGTCCACGATTAAAATAGGTAAAATCAGGAAAAAAACGAGACAAAATCGGATAAATACCATGTCATGTAAAAGGACAACCAATTAGAAGAACGTATTTGTTCATACCATTTCACTTTGATAACCATGCACTCCGTTCCTGGTACCATTAATGTTAAAGTCATAAGTTATTTTAACAAGGCCAAATACAGTAATTAGATTATTTAATCAACAGGAGGAAATTATTATAACGGAATGGTCTAGTATTGTATAATTTTTTTATGTTGCACACTTTATTTAATCCGGGTCAAAAAAAATTTATGATGTAATTTAATATTTATTTACAGTACTGCATAAGCGATGTTACCCAAACTATTTGGGTAACATCGCTAATTGAACATGCTATTATTATATCAATTTGGAACCAGACATTTAGAAAGTCAAAGGTAGCTACCTTTTTATGTCACTATATACGTCACAAATGTCACTGCTACATGTTATTTGATATTCTCATGAGTGGATTCTAAAACTACGTACAATAATTCAGACATATAAGTTACATCGCATATTTCATAAATATAAATACATTGTCTCATAAAAAAAAAATAAAGCAAAATATGGCGATATTATCACTTATCGAAAATATCGATTTTTTAAATTTACTCGTCCTTGTGGGTTTTGGAATAGTAACATATGTGGCACAATTCTATATCAGCTATTTCACAAGAAAAAATCCACTTCCTGGGCCTGTACCATGGCCAATTATAGGTGTGTGGGAAAACGATATGGCGATGGCCAATAAATTTCAAGAAAAATATGGGGATATCTGGGAAGTTTGGAAGTGGTCCGAAAGGCATGTATGGATAGGTCGTGCTGACTTGGCTACGAAGCTACTTAATCCATCTTATTCAAACAATAATTTTCCTTTTCGTACAACTGAAAATGAAGGCCTTGATTTAATGGATATGACATCGAAAGGGGTAGTGTTTAATCTTGATTGGAACAGTTGGAATTTTAATCGGAGTTGTGTAAATCGAATTTTGATGTCACCAAAATTTCTAAGGCAATCAGTAGTGTGCACTCAAAATCTTTTTACAGAAATGGAAAAGTATTGGCTATCCCTTGGACTTGATAACGAAATAGATCTTGTACAATGGATGATGCGATTTATGATAGATTCTACTCTTATCATGACGACAAATAAGAATTTTCACGCTTTAGCCAACTACTATGATACATTTTCTACTTCAGAGTGTTTGAATCATCCTTTGAAGGATTCTGAAAGGTTTGTTACAGCTATTAGAACACATTTTATGGCATGTATATTCTTTAAAGATACACCAAAATACAAGCGAAGACTCTTTCCAAATGTAAGACGTCAAGCCAAAAAATTTCTTGAAGAACTTGCTTGGTTAAACAGAGAGGTTCTTAAGATTATTAGAGAGAGAAAACAGGAAATCGATAGAACTTCATCGGAGGCTGAATTGTCTTCAGATCTGTTGACAATGTTGTTAACTTTAAATACTTTTCGTGATCTTAATCGAGAAAGTGACGCTAGACAAATAAGTGAAGATGACGTTCGCGCTATCACGTACGATATAATTGGTGGTGGTAGTGATACTGTAAGCTGAATCTCAATATTTCTGATATTTGGAATGTCGATCGATGTCTGAGTTTAAATATGATTAATTATTATGTTTAGACATCCAATTCGTTCTGTTATGTTATTTACTATCTTTCACACTATCATGAAGTCAGAAAAACTATGCTTAAAGAATTAGAAACAGTACTTGGCAACGATCAAATTACTTATGAAAAACTTCAAAAGTTACATTACTGTGATGCAATTATTAAAGAAGGTAAGATTTTATTGCTATGAGATGATCTAGCTTTTATGAGATTTTAAGATAATGCACCGGTTTTTCATTAGTGTTTCGGCTTATGCCAACTGTGTCGGTTCTATTCAGAGTAAATGCAAAGCCTGATGAAATTGATGGACATCATTTTGAAAGTTCTACTACATTTATGATCAATGTGCCTGGTATTCATACGCATAGTACATATTGGGACAATCCTCAAAAATTCGATCCTCAAAGATTTATGGGTAAAACTACTGAAGGAAATAATTTTATTCCGTTTGGTGGTGGTTCAAGGATATGTCCGGTATTTATAACTCATATTTAGGCATTATGATCATTTTATTTGCTTTATTAACTTTCTGAATTAATAGGGAAAGCAATTATCAATGCTGCAAATGAAAGCTTTGATCGCCTTATTATACAGAAAATACGATGTCGAATTGGTTGACATGAACGCACCCATAAAATATTGTTCTACGACCGTTAACCATTGTTCAGAACTTGTTATTAAAATTAAATTAAGATCTGAAATTTAGAAAAATAACCATAAGGGTAGCTACGCAGCATGTGATGCCGCGCGGAACTAGTACGATTACATATGACAAACAAATTTCAAATTATTATGTTTGAATGGTTATTAGTACTCTGCACCAATAAAATAAAATTAAGAAATGTAATAGTATAGTACAGTGGCAATCAAAATAATGAAACAAAAAAAAAAGGGTAGATCATATATTTCGCGCAATTTGGAGTGAATTCTCGATTTTTTTATTATTATTAAATTCGCAAATAGTATTATTTTCATCAATAAAATTTTTTTAAAAAAAGAATGAATTTAATTTTTCACGGGCACGAGTTTTATTTAAATTGACGTGTTGCATTATTTTTTACAGCAGCATCACTGCAAAATCAAAAAAAAAATTTTTATATTAAAAAAAGAATTTTTTCATTTTTCATTTTTACCATTAGATGTAACCATCTTAAGCTCTAATTATGTCATGAATTTGTGTTGACATTGACTTAATCAGGTTTGTGCAGGTTTTAAGATTGATTTTTTGAATCTTTTTTTAAAGGTTTTGTTTGTTTAAATTTGATTAGAAAGGTTTTTAAAAATGTTAGTTGATCTCAATTTACAGGTGTTTAATAAGGTTGAGGTTGGATAATTGAAGGATTATTTAAAAAACTTAATTTTATTTCTTTTAAGCAAACATTTAGTAAAAATTATTATATATAAAGGTATATTATCTTGTTTTTTTTTTCTTTTGCTAAGGTTAATGTTTATTAGCAGCTATTAATTTTGTGTTTTAATTATATATTTACATATACTGTATAACTTATACAAGATAAGTATGTGACTAGTCACATGTGTAACTTTTGGTTATTTATTTAAGTAGTTTATTTACAGATTCTATACTAGTTATTATACTTATAATTTGCTAAAAGATTATCTATTTAAACATTCTAATTTTTATACTACTATAATCAAATAGTTTTGTGGTTTTTATATATCTAAGTGTTATCTAATCTAATATTAAGTTTTTTTTATATATTTATCAAGTTGTTATTTGTTTTGGAATATATTATTTGATTATAAGATTAAAAGTCTTCTTATTTATTAATTTATAAACTTTATAAATTATTAACAGAATTATGTTTTTGTAAAATTTATCTAAACCTTAATACTAACTTTTTTTTTTATTTGAAATAGCAATCTTGCCTGTATGTTTTTATCAAATAATATATGATTACATATTTTTTATATATAATAGTTTATTAATAAAAGTACAACTAGTCATATATATAACTTTAGTCATTATCTAATTAAGGGTTTCATCCATAGGTTACTTATTAGATGTCATATCTAAGACCCACCTATGAGTCCTCTATTTAAACTTTCTGATTTTTAATACATATTACATATATATACAATATCTACATTACTATTATGTGATATATCAGGTTAGGGTTATCTTAATTATTATTTATATATATATATATTTTTTTAAATATAAACGGTGAGGCCATGTCTTTAACTTTATTGAAATTCAATTGAAGTTTTTACAAAGAAAAGCTTGCTTTTAAATTACA